AGGGTATCCTAGCTTCGTTTTCTAATGATTCATATGGCTTATTAAAATCTTGAAGACCAAATTTCTGCCAGAAGAATTTCTTGTTTGCTTTAAAAAAAGGCATATCAATCCGTTAGTCCAAAATGAAGAGAACTGCAACCCTTTGTAAGATTTTCCAATCTTGAGCTTTATTACCAGTAAAGTAAACGATGGAGGAAACATAATTAACTACTTGTTTGGTTGTGTTGGTAAATGGTAAGAAATTCACCAGGGGTATATTCACCAGATAAGAGTCGTATGTGCAGGCAAGAGTTTGACAGTAATGAAACTTGTAATGCGGTAAGATTGAATAATTATGGAATTTAGAGCTTAAATACAAAATCCGAATTACCAACGGAAATAAACACGAAATAATATAACTAGACCCTTACTATCTTTAAGAGCATTTGTTGACCACTCTTTTTGGATTTCATTCTTTAAATGCAGATCACCAACTCTTCCATCCTTCCCCGTTTGTGGGTTTTCAGGGAATTTCTTTGCAAAAGGCCACACAACTTTGCGCACTTGCAGATAAACCTGCCTTTCTATCTCCTCTTTGGAGCTCGGTTGGTTGCCAGACATAACGACAGAAGTTGAAGCAGACACTTTGTCTATCTGAATAGGTTCATTCAGATCAGCCAAACCATTGCTCCTTACTAAATGCAAACCAGAGCTCGACAAACTATTGTTATAGCCAGATTTGTCTGTTCCAGACCCCTAACCTCCTTCTGGTTCTTCTTCATCACTGAGGTGTTCATCGGCTGGAAGTTCAAGATTGAACAATCTTCTTCAAGGCTTCTTCACTCTGGAAGCCGAAGATTTGTGGTCCTTCATCCCTACTCTACTTTGGCTGGGGACACTGTTGTGCGGAAGCGGCATTCGACTGTAAGTGAATAGTAAAACAGAACAGAATAAAACCAACACCAACAAGAACACCAAGATTTATACTGGTTCGGCAATGCCTACATCCAGTTTGGAGACGACGGAGTATTCCACTATAATCAATGAGAACATACAATAGTGTTTATCACTCAATTTCCCAAAGACCCAAATAACCCCAAGCTCTCACACTTACAATAGGAAGAGAAAACCAAAAATACAAAGCAAGACAATTTGAGAAAATTCTTCTCTGTGCCAAATGGCTTCTTGCTATTTTTCTCTCTTCCTTGTTCTTCTCTACTTCTCCATGCTTATGGGTTGCACCTTGCTCTCCTTTTATAGCCAAAGAAAAGCTTCTCAAAGACATCAATGGCCAAAGGCCTACCATCAAGTCAAAAGGAGTTAGGCATAAATTAGGCACAAATCTTGTTTGCCTCCCATTACCACAAAGTAGCCCAAAGATTTAGACTTTGACTACATGTTTGAGTCAATAATCAACAATCTCCACCTTGACTCAAACCCTCTAAGTAGAACTCCTAATAGTCGTCTCCCAATCCCCCATGGGGCAATCAACAAATTTTACAAATGCCAATCAAGTCTAAGCAGTGCTTAAACTTGAGCAATGAAACTGGCTTTGTTAACATATCCGCAGGATTGTCAGCGGTCCCAATCTTCTGAAGAAGAATATCTCCCTCGTCAATAACCTCACGAACAAAATGGAACCTCACGTCAATGTGTTTCGTACGTGCATGATGAACTTGATTCTTTGCTAAATGAATAGCACTCTGACTGTCGCAATGAACATCCACATGGTCTTGTTGAACCCCTAAGTCATCAAGCAACCCTTGAAGCCAGATGGCTTCTTTTATAGCTTCTGTCACAGCCATGTATTCTGCCTCAGTAGTCGACAAACCAACTGTAGATTGCAGAATCGACCTCCAACTTACTGGACCTCCAGCAATAGTGAATACAAAACCAGTAGTGGACCTACGCTTGTCCAAATCACCTGCGTAATCAGAATCCACATATCCAACAACACATTGACCAGTAACTTTATCCTGCTGGAACAATAAACCAACATCCACAGTACCCAGAATATACCGTAGAATCCATTTCACAGCTTGCCAATACCCTTTTCCTGGATTATGCATATATCTACTGCCAATGCCCTTCCCATCAACCTTAAAACCTTCTGGTTGAGACATATAAATCTCTTCCTCCAAATCACCATGTAAGAACGCAGTCTTGACATCAAGTTGGGCCAACTCAAGGTTAAACTGCACAACCAAAGCCAACAAAATACGAATAGAAGAATGTTTTACTACAGGAGAAAATACCTCATTGTAGTCAATGCCTTCCTTCTGAGCGTAGCCTTTAGCTACCAATCTGGCTTTGAATCTTACATTGTCTTTTCCCAAAGATTCCATCTTTTTGGCATACACCCATTTACAACCAATTGTTTTCTTCCCCTTTGGTAACTGAACCAGCTTCCAAGTCTCATTTTTATGAAGAGATTTCATCTCCTCATCCATAGATTTCTTCCACAACTCGCACTCTGAACTCATGACAGCTTCTTTGTAGGCGGATGGAATATCATCTTCAATAACGGGAAGTGCATATGCCACAATATCAGTAAATCGAGCAGGCTTTCGGATTTCCCTTCTCGATCTTCTGGTTGCAATATAGTCTTGTTGCTGTGGAGGCTCTTGGGTAGGTGCCTCCTCTTCATCATCCTCGTCCTCATCGTCAGAATTAACTGTAGGACTAGTGTTTGAAACATCAGACCTTACTGGAACAACTGGAGTCTTCAGTAACTCCACCTGCTTTGAGCTACTCATGGTCTCGGTCGCTTCAGTTTCACCTTCATGCTTGTTTTGATTAACCATAGCAGCCTCATCAAAAGTCACATCTCTGCTTACAACAAATTTCTTCTCATCTGGACACCAGAGTCGGTATCCCTTCACGCCAGTGCTAAAGCCCATAAATAGAGCTTTCTTTGCTCTTGGATCCAACTTGCTTTCTCTGACATAATAGTAAGCAGAACAACCAAATATGTGTAAAAACTTGTAATCAGTACAAGGTTTACCAGACCATACCTCCATGGGCGGTTTGCCCTCGTTCGCAGCAGCTGGCAATCGATTAATGAGATGGCTTGCATAAGTGAGTGCCTCAGCCCAAAATGCCTTGCCTAATCCAGCATTAGACAACATACACCGAACTTTCTCAAGCAAAGTACGGTTCATACGCTCCGCCACCCCATTCTGTTGCGGTGTCTCCCTAACCGTGAAGTGCCTCACAATACCCTCATCTTGACAAATTTTCAAGAAAGGATCAGACTTATATTCACCCCCATTGTCTGATCTAAGAGTCTTGATCTTTCGACCGCTTTGCGTTTCAATCATCTTTTTCCACTTCAGGAATATCTTCAAGACTTCATCTTTACGCTTCATGGTGTACACCCATATTCTTCTAGAGAAGTCATCAACAAAGGAGACAAAATAATGGCTACCTCCCCAAGATGCATTCTTGGAAGGTCCCCAAACATCAGTGTGAACATAATCAAGAATGCCTTTAGTGTGGTGAATAGCAGTGCCAAATTTTACTCTAGTTTGCTTACCCAACACACAATGCTCACAGAATTCCAATTTGCATGCCTTTGCACCTTTCAATAAGCCTTGCTTCACCAATCCTTGCAACGCTTTTTCACCAGCATGCCCAAGACGCATATGCCATAACCTCGTGGTGTCTGTGCTATCTGTGTCAGCAGCTTCGGTGACAGCTGCTCCACCAATAACTGTACTCCCCTGCAAGAAATACAAGTTATTTCGTCTTGTACCTTTCATCACCACCAGTGCCCCGTACACAGCTTTAAGAACTCCACCCTCCATGGTGATCTTGAGACCCTTGGATTCCAATGCACCCAGTGAAATAAGATTTTTCTTCATATCCGGTACATACCGAACATCACTTAATTCTCTGACTGTTCCATCATGCATCTTCAAACAGATTTTGCCCATCCCTTGTGTTTTGCAGGCATTATTATTACCCATCAAAACAACTCCACCATCCAGCTCCTCGAAATTAGAAAACCATTCCCGAATGGGACACAAATGATAGGTGCAACCTGAATCCAAAATCCACTCATTTGAGTGACCATCAGCATATGAACTAGCCAAAGCAAACTCGAAATCATCATCTCCAGATTTTGCAATATTTGCTTCAGAACCCGCTTTCTCCTTCTCTTTGTTCTTCAATTTGGGGCAGTCTTTCTTCCAATGCCCCTTTTGGCGACAAAAAGCACATTCATCTTTAGAAGGAAACTTCCCTCGTGACTTTGAACGAGATTTTCCCCGCTTCCCAGATTTTCTTTCCTCTGTTCGACCCCTTGCAACAAATGCCTCGGTTTGTGAATTATGAGTCTTCAGTTCCTTCTTACGACACTCATGATTCACCAATGCCGCAGACACCTCATCAAGTTTCACCTCGGATTTTCCATACAACAGAGTAGTTGTCAAATGATCATAATCATCAGGCAATGAATTTAACAAACATAGTGCCTTGTCCTCGTCAGGAATTTTCACATCAAGGTTTTGCTAAATCAGCAAGTATTTTTATATAATCATTGAGGTGTTCGTGCATAGAGATACCTGGACGATACTGAAATCGGAAGAGTCGTTTCTTCAAGAAGAGACGATTTTCTGCGCTCTTGGTCATATACTTCTCCTCCAATTTCGTCCATAACTCCTTAGCAGAAGTTTCCTTCATATACGGGTATTTCAACTCCTTATCAAGGAACGATCGAATAGCAGCACAAGCATGAAGATTAATTCGCGTCCACTGCTTGTCATCAATATCTTCTGGTTTATCTTCCAGAACCATATCCAACTCTTGTTGATACAACACATCCATAACTTCACATTGCCACATACCAAAATTATTAGAGCCATTGAATTTATCAACCTCTAACCTTGTAGTAGTGGTTGGATGTCTATTGGATGTAGACGAAGACGATGCTGACTCCTTCCTTACAGATTCATCTTTATCTCCAGCCATCTACTCAGCACTATTCACAAATACGGTACTGTTCACAGGTATAATACTGTTCACAGATACTGTAGCAGTTCACTGTTCACTGTAGCGCCAACATTATTCACGGAACTGGGCTCTGATACCACTTGTTGTGCAGAAGCGGCATTCGACTGTAAGTGAATAGTAAAACAGAACAGAATAAAACCAACACCAACAAGAACACCAAGATTTATACTGGTTCGGCAATGCCTACATCCAGTTTGGAGACGACGGAGTATTCCACTATAATCAATGAGAACATACAATAGTGTTTATCACTCAATTTCCCAAAGACCCAAATAACCCCAAGCTCTCACACTTACAATAGGAAGAGAAAACCAAAAAATACAAAGCAAGACAATTTTGAGAAAATTTCTTCTCTATGCCAAATGGCTTCTTGCTATTTTTCTCTCTTCCTTGTTCTTCTCTACTTCTCCATGCTTATGGGTTGCACCTTGCTCTCCTTTTATAGCCAAAGAAAAGCTTCTCAAAGACATCAATGGCCAAAGGCCTACCATCAAGTCAAAAGGAGTTAGGCACAAATTAGGCACAAATCTTGTTTGCCTCCCATTACCACAAAGTAGCCCAAAGATTTAGACTTTGACTACATGTTTGAGTCAATAATCAACAGACACCGCTGTTTTGCAGTGTTTTTCCAATAGAATCGTAAGGAAAGTGGCTGATACAAGTACTCGATGTAGATTGTCTACCATAAATGGACCAACTCTTTCTGTCGTCTCCAGTTGGAAAGCCGAATGATGAGAAAGTTGATTGTGACCCTGCTACCTTTTGTTGTTTGATCAGCTCTTTGCTTTTGATGTCGTTCATCAGGTCCTTTTGCCTTTCGTAAAGACGATGGAGTTCATTGAGCTGGATAAGAAAATCACAGACAAAGGCAAAGGCATTTTACTACTGCCTAACAAATTTGAGCACTCAAAGTTCGACACTTACTTACCAATATAAAACCGTTATTCAATCTTTCTAAATACTATGATAAGATCTATGACCATTACCAGAGGCGGATCCACAGTGGAGTCAATGGGGTCGCACGACCTCTTGGAAGCCATGGAAATAACCTTAGAGGTCCCTTGGAGCTGCTGGTGCGACCTCTTGGAGCTGCACACCACTTGTTCGACGGAATGTTTGAAAGAAGAAAGAAGGCAGCCTTGCTGCAGATTGAAGAAGAATGAGCTTGGAGCTGCACACCACTTGTTCGACGGAATGTTTGAAAGAAGAAAGAAGGCAGCATTGCTGCAGGTTGAAGAAGAAGGAGCTTGGAGCTGCACACCACTTGTTCGACGGAATGTTTGAAAGAAGAAAGAAGGCAGCCTTGCTGCAGGTTGAAGAAGAAAGAGCCCGCGCGAGCCTTTTTTTTTTAAAACGAACTTGGGCAAAACAACGTCGTTTTGGCCCAGGGAATTGTGAAATTGTGAATTCATGCACCCTAAATTATTCTTTTTTTTGTTGGTGCACACAGTATTCTTTTTTTAAAAATTCTTTTTTAGTATTCTCCTTTTTTTTTCATTTTAACACCAATTATTTTGTTAAAAATTATTAAAAAAATTTATTATTGTTCCATGCACAGATTAATCCGACACTGCACCAAACGCCCGACTAATTTAGTCAGTACTATCCGACGACTATTTATCCTATCCGACTGAAATAGTAAGTACAGTCCGGAAGTACCAAACGAGGCTAAAAAAAAATTTCGCGCTGCGCGCGCTTTCCTTATTGACCCCCCAAACATTATTTCCTGGATCCGCCACTGACCATTACTACACTTTAGAACTCAACATATATAGGTTCTAGAATATACACATGATGCCTGAAAATTGACTCATCCTTATCGCGTCCGTGAAATCCATCAATAACTGGCCTTGTCAAGAACACTTCGTATTGCTGCCCATTCTTCAAGTTCGTGTTCTCGTGGAGTAGGGACCAGCTCCCATGGCCGACATTGCTGCTCAGATTCTGTATGGAATAATATCCCGGGAAATACATCTTCGACTGCACTTCAGTTCCCATTCCTGCAATTAACCCGAGAAGCATTAGCAAAATTCAACTTAGATATAGTGAGAATTCAACTTAGCCTCAGTACTGTCAAAACAATCAGCAGAATCACATCATCAGATTGCAAACTAAGAAAGCAGAAATCTTTACTCAGCAGATAGAGTAAACCAGCAAGAACCCACGAAATGCCAAAAAACGCTTTTAACACATAATTTCAAAATTGCATTTCATTTTCTAATGATTATCATTAATCCTAGCTCCACATTAGCACATTTCAACCCAATGTTCCTTTCCTGTCCATGATCCATCCAAGATTCTGGTCAAAAAACGCGGCCGAATTTTCTCGAAAGGAAAGAATTTACTATCTTAAGATACAAGCAACTCCAAGTTACTATTCGAAATTTAAGTTATGACTGTTCATCTTACGGATTAAGAAATAAACACAGTCCAAAATCTAAGCCTAGATTGAAAAACAGCAGAACCAAAGATAAAAAATTATATATACATACATACATATATAATTATATAGAGAGTCAAATATACAAACAAATTTATAAAAGAAACAGATTACAGATAACTAAATTATAAAATAATCTGCAGACTAAATTAAAAAATTGAAAATAAATCAGAAAATTGAGAATAGAAAATTACCTCATATGGTTAATAATCTTCCGCAAGGCTTTGCCCTACGAATTCACCCAAATTTCCAACGACCCACAAACCAATCCAACTCCATCAAAATTCACAGCCGCAATACAAAAGAGCAGCAACAAAAGTAGGTACTTCTGTTCTGAACTAACATTAAACAATTAAAAAAAAAATGGGATTATTGTCACAGAGCAAATCAGATCTGCTGCTGGAGCAGAATCTGATGAGAAAATCAGAGAAAGAGGTTTCCTTTTCAATTTCTCATATCCCAAACACAGAAAGCTCTTTCCTTTTTAATTCCCCCACACTCAGAGAACCCAGAAACCAACAACAACAAATGACTTGTTCAAGAACAACAGTGACTCTAATTTGTCAACTTGTGGTCTGCACATTTATTCCAAAATTATGCACCCCACTCTCTTCTTCTATGGCTTTTGCTCCAGTGATTTTTTCCCGCATTTAATATTACTTTTTTTTTATGGGTTTTTGAGGAAATGTGAGATAAAGAAATATATTCTCTCGGTCACCCGGACAGACGAATACATGATTATGCATTTTTGTATTTGATATAAAGGGTAGAAATATTCATTTAAGTTTTTTTTTTATCTAAATTGATTTTATGTCAATTAAAATTAATAAGAGTAGTTTAAGATTATCTACTATTAATTATTTTAGTCTTTCAATTTAAGCGAGAATTTTCACGGAATAATCAAAATGATTGACGGTGAACAATCTAATATATTACTTCTATCAATTTTAAATTTTAAAGACTAAAGTAAAGAGTTCTGACAATTTTAAAGACTATTTTTAATTTTTAATTTTTAATTTAATTTTTAATATTAAATCCTTGGTCAAATGGTAATACATCTTTGATTAGATTAAGTTAATGAGAGAACGAGACTCGTCAATGACAGAATCATTTTTTTAATTATATTAATTTGGTTTTTTCAACATTTTCTAGATTCTCCCGACGTTCCATGCTTTTTGGGTGCAAATATAATTATATTCAGAAAGTACTTAAAAAGATGGAGACAACGGGGTTCGCTGAAGCAACAACCTAACAGTTTCCGAAAGTGTGGCTGATTCCATACAATCATTCGATCTGCCTCCGAGTGTGTTATCCATGCGAGTGATCCTGTTCCGCCACGTAACCCAACCGTGACGTTTGATGTCTGACGTAGTCGTGTGTATGTTCCACTTGCGTTCAGAGGATCGTGGCTCCATTGTCTTTTGCGTCAGACTTAACAATTATGAGAGAGAAATTTGAAAAGTGCAGCTATTTTTGTATTATATTTTTATTTGCATTTTTGTACATAATTTAAATTTTTGATTGCTTTTTTGGATTTTGCTTTTTTTTTTCCAAATCTGATTGGTCAACTCCAAGACTCAAGACTCAAATTCTTTTGGAAATTTAATTTTAATTTCATCCTTAATATTCAAATATATTTGCATTTTGGTTTGTGAGGGTAGTTTAAGTCTTAAATTTGGGTTTAAAGAAATATTGATAGATTAGTTAAAAGTAATATGAGTGAGTGGCACCAACTCAACAAAATAAGGAAAAAAAAATTAACGAGTAAAAAAAATACCCCAAACCTAAACCGTGGTAGAAGTTACTTGAGGAAGCTCATTAGTTTGTTTTTCGGGTTCCGTTGTGAAATGTCGGATGATCATGTTCAGATAGTATTTCAATTTGCTAAATGTATGAACAACTGATGCAATTGCATTTTCATACAACGTTTTGAGGTACTCGAAGGCGTAGTCATTTCGTAGACATTTTTAATGAACCATTCAAGACTTGTTTTTAAAGCAACTTGCTTAAGTTGGGGGTTAGTCATAGAATATTGCTGACGTAAAGAAGTTGAAGATAGGGGGGCTTGAACATAGAAAATTGTTGGATAAGAGTGCGGTGGCAACAAGAGAGGAGAGAGATGTGTAATTACGAAATGTGTTATTTCACTCATTGTGTCTTTATTTATAACAATAGGGAAGGTAAACTTTTTACCCCAATACAATTACAACTCTAATAGAACTTGAACTTCAATTTCTTTTACTGAGATGAAAACAAAAATAAAAATGAGCAACCTACCATGATTTGCATTCTGTACGAAATACCCAATAAATGTTTTTACGGTAGGTTGCTCATTTTTATTTTTGTTTTCATGTCAGCAAAATAAATTGAAGTTCAAGTTGTATGGTATATGAAATATAGAAAACAAGTTGTAAAAGAATAAACATAGAGCACGCTCAAAATTCAAGCGTAAATAAGTTGTATGAAACTGATTTATTGGTACCATGATGTTTTGTTCCAATAATAGAATGACATGTGTGCTCTTTTTCAACACATCTCATCGGTTTACTGACTCAAGAAGTTACGTAACGGTGAACTCATTTCATGTAAGTTACTCTTCTTTAATTATAAGTGGCGATTTTACCTCAAAACTTATACTTTGGTATCAACATCCACTATAGCCAGTTTCAGTTTCGAGACTCTGGCATCTCCATTTTGATATCATTGAAAGAAAAAAAAATTTTTATTTGAAAGGAACTCGTCAAGTAATAAATACATTATACATATATTACAAAAGTAGATAAGGGCCTCAATTGGTAAAGAAAAGTGAAATCTGACATGAAATGATAATGAAAAGTCTGATGAGATAATACAAGGAAAGTATTTTATACGAAGGTAGCTTACTTAAGCTTATCTTCTTCTAGACTGCTACGGATGTCATTTAAACATCTCCTGCACTTGCACTTGCACCATTCGGTTGATCGGATCCCATAACCAACTCTTTCAATTTGTCAAACATTCCGGATGCAATAACTTTTGCACTTGCACCAATATTCATGAAGAACTCTTTCAGTTTGTCAAACATTCCGGATGCAACAACTCCACTTGCACCAATATTCATGAACACCTCTTTCAGTTTGTTAAACAGCTGACGAAGCTGTTCAAGTGCTGGTGTTGTGCTAGGATAGCACCAAACCCGTTGGAACCAACTCAAGCTAACCCACAGGAAATTTATCAAATGAAAATGCAAGAACAAAATATAAAAGAACACCAAGATTTTAACGAGGTTCCTCAACAGTCAGTGTAACTGGAGTACGTCCTCGGAGCAGTAGGAGCTCACCCAATAATCCACTATCAACCAAATGGGAGTTTACAAAGTGTTGGCAATCTCACAACCCAAAACCCCAATACACCCAATAACTCTCACTCACCAAAGAAACAAATAGAGAGGGAAATATAGTGAATAATTTCCTCTCTATACAAAGCTCAAAGCTAATACACAAATACAACTTTGATTGAGTGAGTACCAACAAAGAAAGAAAATCACCTTTCTTTCTTCTCTTCAAAATGGGGCTGCAGCACCTCTGGTTTTTTCTCTTTTTTTCTGCTACGTTTTTTCTTCTCTTATGGCTTCATTACTACACTTCATAAAAAATAGCAATTATTTCTCTTTCAAATAACTCATCCGTGACTTCCCATGGACCAAGACAACTTTAGACCAATTCCCTTTTCTTTTCCCCAAAACAAGGAAGAGACATAATTATTTTGTCTTTTTTTTCTTTTTGATTTGTTTAATTAAAAGGTGGCCACTTGGCCACATACTCCAACAATCTCCACCTTGGCCAAGTTCCGAAAAACGCCATGATAAGCCAACCAACACAATTAACAAACAACATCACTCCCAAACACTAGCAAGAGAACAACTCATGCCGAGCCAAATACTCCAAAACTCCTACTGCTCAACGCCTTCTCTATATAGGCATAATGTGAGCCAAGTTCAAACAGTGAACAAACTTGGCTACACCAACAACCTTAGTCAACATATCAGCGGGGTTGTCTTTAGTTGGAATCTTCTGGAGAATGATTTCCCCTTCACCAACAATTTCACGAACAAAGTGATAACGCACATCTATGTGCTTGGTCCTCGCATGATGAACTTGATACTTAGCCAAATAAATGGCACTCTGACTATCACAATGTACCTCCACCTGCTTCTGATCAACCCCCAAATCTCTAATCAGCCCATGTATCCAAATGGCCTCTTTTATAGCTTCAGCAACTGCCATATATTCAGCCTCTGTAGTAGACAAGGCAACAGACGACTGCAAAATCGACCTCCAACAAACTGGTCCTTTAGCCATAGTAAACACATAGCCTGTAGTAGACTTCCTTCCATCCAGATCACCTGCATAATCTGAATCAACATAACCAACTGCAAAATGACCAATACCAGAGTCATCTCTCTCAAAGCATAAACCAACATCTCGAGTACCATGGAGATACCTCAATATCCACTTAGCTGCTTGCCAATGCTCTTTACCTGGATTATGCATATATCGACTCACCATGCCAACTGCATGAGCAATATCCGGTCTAGAGCATACCATTGCATACATCAAACTACCAACCAAATTTGCATATGGTATATTTTTCATTTGCAGCTTCTCTTTATCATTTTTAGGA